TAGTCTGATTATATTGCCTAAAATGTGTAAGCTAATGGATTACATTTCTAACTACAATTTGTGTCATGCAATTTGGATTCAGTAATGGGCTACAATTTCCAAGTAATTTATCCAGCAGTGTCTGTCTGTCTACCTTTCTATCATTCTGTCTAGCCTAAATACCCTAACAAGTGCCTAGCAACCACCCAGAACACCATAGCAACTGTTTAGCATGGGCATAACAACACAGAACACCCACTTAGCAACTACTTGACAGCTGTCTAGAACACCTTAGAAACATTTAACACTTTCAAGCTACTTCTAACATTTAAGACAAGACTTTGTCAAGCCCACAATCTAGTTTCAACCTATAATCATGTGTGCATGTTTCAGTTTTTCAACAGCTTTGACGTTTAAAGTATTACAATATCATAACAAAGAAGGCTTTTGAACACACTTTCCCAGTCTGTGAGCATGTGAGTTTATGCGTCATACCATCAGACACCACTAGCCCATGGGAAACCAATCCACCCCGTCACAAGAATGAACTCTTTTCTTGTTCCCGCGCTCCATCTGTTTTATGGTGCAGCTGAAGTGTTGTGGCAGTAACAGCTCGGCGGACTGGAGGGAAGGGGCCTGGATGCATACCTTTGCCGACAGACGCCTGGTGCCCGACAGCTGCTGTAAGACCCCCACACAGGGCTGTGGAGTCAGAGACCACCCATCCAACATCTACAAAGTGGAGGTATGTTCAGATGACTGAACGCACAATTGCATTGCACTTTTATAGCTTATGCACTTATTATAGTAACAACTTTGTCTCAGATCTTTCTCCTTTGTGTTTCAAGGCAAATATCTCAGATAATTTGGCTTTGGAAGAATTTGATGAGAAATGTTTGCATTCATTTTGAGATCTTTTAATTGCATACTTTGGTATGTTTGGAAATCTGAACATTTTGAGACATTGTTAAGATTTTTTCTTTTTCAGGGAGGCTGCATATCCAAACTAGAGGAGTTTATACTTCAGCATCTGATTATTTTGGGCTCAGTGGGTCTTGGGATTGCATTCATTCAGGTGAGCAACTCTGATATAACTCCAGCAAATATATTCACTCCTATTTGTATTTGTTGCCATTTCATAGGTTCTAACCTTCGGTCTTCTCTGTCTGTTCCAGATTGTGGGGATGATTTTTACCTGCTGCTTGTATCAAAGTTTGAAAGAAGAAATATACTGAGAAAGAAGATACTTATTCACACCAACACCAAAAAAGCCTTCCTGCTGTCTGCATTACTGTCTGTTACTGTTTGGTTTCATGAATGTGTCACAATAACGCAGGATGACCGCTCAATATGTCTTGGCTGCAGGACAGTCGTTCTGGAAATGGAACTTAAATTGTTTTGTTTTAAGCAAAAGTTTTTAGAAGCAGTGTGTTCAAACTTTTTTCAGTACAAATAAATCAGTGAAATTGTTTTATTTTATTTCTGTCAGTTATACTCTCACAAATGCCTTCAAAGACATACAGAATTTGTCTGGCATTTATTACTAAACATTAGATAATTATTAGCACCCTTTCAACATTAATATGGGTTGTAATCTTTAATCATAAAATGACAGACATGAATTTTTACATGCTTTGAGTGTAACATTTGTTCTAATAATAAAACATTAACATTAATCTATTTTCATCAGGTGGAAGTAACATTCAAAGTATTCGCTGTGTCTGTAGATTTCCTGAAAAAAGGTCGTTAGTAAAATAATTATGATATAAAATGTGCATATAGGAACTACTTAAACAGCGGAACTTGCGGTTTTACCCGGAACTTTACAACCGACGGACCATGAAAACAAGCAGCTGATCAAATGATCTCAGTTCTGTTTTATCGTAAATTCAATTAATTTATTACATTTCAGTACGTGTATTTAGTAGGTTATTGTTGACGTTAGTATTGTCATTATCGTTTGTTAATGCTCAGTCTCTATAAACATCGAAAACCAGTCAATTTGGTGATCTAAAGCATCTATAATGACATCTAAACCTACATGTCTGATTGTGGCCAGTGCTGCATCTGCAGGTAAGACTCAAATGCACATGAATATTTACAGGAAGGTAATGGATTTCTGAAATGGAACATGGACAGTTTCTATTTGAGTGGGTGGTCAAAATATAATTGAAGTCCCAATTTTATTATCAGTGAATTGTTTCTAAATTGTGGTAGGTTCCATATATTATTAGTGTAATGAATAATTGTGATGATGTTTTTGACTCAAACTGACCCAACCTGTTTGTTAATATTTCTTATTTTTTATTTAATATAATTCACCAAAAATCGAACAAAATGAAGATTTTACAAAACCACATTGCTATATATATATATATATATATAAATATGAACATTTTCTAATTGTATATTATATTTTCTTTTTTCGAAAAAATATATTCTATGAAATAAGAACTTTATAAGTTTTGAAATGTTATTTAATGTTTGTGGTCTTGAAAATGGATATGTATTATGCCTAATTAAGTTAATTATGTAACATTGTTTTAAAAACTTTTTTAAAATATAGGCAATGTATACATTTTATCTAATACATTTTAATCTAAAGTTCATAATATATTCAAATTAATTTAGTGTTAATAAATTTTCAATGCAGCTTTTATATTTGTCTTGTTTGTTTTTTTTTTTCTTGGGGGGGGGGGTTCGTGAAAGGTCTCATTAGTCTTTTGAACTGTATTTATTCAAAATAAAAATAAAATTCTTAAAAAGTTCCAGGATCCAAATGGATGATCAGATGGTAATAACATTGCACTTTAATCTATTTTTAAATGAAACTTTGAACAATGATACTCTTTTGTTAGTGTTTTCTGTTTCTTGTGAATGTAACGCATTAAACTGGGTTCTGTTTTCCTGCAGGAGTTTCAGCACGATCTTTCCATCAGTGTTTTCATTTGTGCAGTTCAGTGTTTAACCTGCAGACAGCGACACCTGGCGTGAGGAAACACACACTGCAGCATCTACAAATCAGTGTTTATTCATCCATATACGACACGCAATGGGCTGCATGCATCACATCTGTCTCTCTTTTTTTTTTTGTCTCACAGGGGAAGCCCATCGACTTTGCCGGTGTGGATGACAGCACAGCCCGCTGGGTGCAAGAGTTCAGCGTCAAACCCTACGCCAACCCGGCCAAGCTGGAGTCTATCGATGGTCTGACATCTCTCTGCTATCTTGAGTCTGAGTGTATAAGTGCATTTCTTACATCAGGATATGTGTGATGTTTCAGGTGCCCGCTATCAGGCGCTGCTGATCCCCGACTGTCCGGGAGCCCTGAACGATCTCGCCCACAGCGGATCCCTCGCACGAATCCTGTCCCACTTCATTTCTCATCAAAGTGAGGATCTCTGCTTCTCAGACAGCTCAGGGTTTAATCCATAGAGACGGAGTGCATTTAGGCCACGCCCACCGTGGGGGAAAACATTCCAACCCTCTCCATTGACTTTGTATTGTGGGAAGCCGCCGCCTTGTTGTTTCTGACTTATAACAAAAAACAGAACCATGCCTAAAAGCTGCTGTGTGACAAGGTGTACAGCAGACAAAGGGTTAGTTCACCCAAAAATAAAAATTCTGTCATTAATTACTCACCCTCATGTCGTTCCAAACCCGCAAGACCTTCGTTCATCTTCTGAACACAATTTAAGATATTTTTGATGAAATCTGAGGGCTCTCTGAGCCTCCCATAGACAGCAAGGTAACTACCACGTTCAAGGTCCAGAAAAGTGACGCAGTAGAGATGAAAATGTGGAATAAAGTCGTTATTTTTGTTTTCTTTGCTTCGTAACTTTACAGTTGAACCACTGATGTCACACGGACTACTTTTCTGGACCTTGAACGTGGTAGTTACCTTGCTGTCTATGGGAGGCTCAGAGAGCCCTCAGATTTCATCAAAAATATCTTAAATTGTGTTCCGAAGATGAACGACGGTCTTACGGGTTTCGAACAACACGAGGGTGAGTAATTAATGACAGAATTTTTATTTTTTGGGTGAAATAACCCTTTAAGGTTGAGATGGGACAATGCGATTTATTAACACCGAAACACATGATTTGTCTTGCAGAATGTTTAAAATCTCACACAGACATGCTTGATCAAACTGGTAAAGGCAGTGAAAGACACTGATCACTTGCCTGTGCATATCTTGTCCACTTTCAGCATCATGGCTCCTCGGTCCAGCGCCTGCCTGCGAAACACACCGCAGAAAGTGCAGTTATTCTTCAATCCCACCTGCTTCACGATGGCGTCCATGGTCCAGCCGTACAGCTCTTCATAAGACACGATCTTCAGCGGCAGCTCATACTGCTGCTGGTTCCTCTTCACCGTCTCCAGCGAATCATCTCTGTAGCCTGTGATGCCCTCATCCACCGAAAGCAGCAGAAGGCTCAGGCCGTAACCGTAGCGCTCGTTCAGGACCTTCATCACATGGGCCAGGACGGTAGAGTCCTTTCCGCCCGAGGCACCGATGGCCACGGTCTCTCCACGGTTAAAGAGTCCGGCGGACACGATGGTTTGATGGATCTCCTCCTCGAACGCCCAGAAGAAGCAGTCCTTACAGAGAGAGTGTCCGGTCTTGGGCCGTTTGAGCACAGCACGTCTCTGGACGCAGTTACTGCACTGGACCGGCATTGTGACACACAGGGCACTGCACAGCATTTCAGAGAAATATCAGATCAAAACACATCTTTAACTGGTTCTCAATCTTTTGTGTGACACAGACCCCCAAATATGATCATCCTGCTGCAAATCATTCTAAAATGTAAAAGCACCTATACATTTTCAGCTAATTTTAATGTGGAAAAAACACACACACACGTCATTACATTTTTCTACTCACTATAGTAATGATGGTGGATGGATGATGATGATAGATGGATTATTTAATTATTTTATTCTAAATATTTAATTGTATCTTAATTGTTTATTTATTTTTACATTTTTCCACAGACCCCTGCACACTCTTGTGGCCCCCAGTTTGAAGACCCTGCATTAACCCTTTCTGGCACTTGGCATTATTTAAAGCAGGAATATTTCATAAATGTTTTTTTAGACTGAGGAAAAGTGATGGTCCTTACATAGTTATTTTGAATATGTGTTCTCTGAAAGTAACATGTTACAGAATAACAATGTATTAAAATATGTATGCAACTAAAAGCATATTAACTTCATAAGGTAAAATGGGGTGGTAAATGTTTATTGATGTTATACATCTCATAACAGGGATGAAAGTTGTTGGATTGAATTGCATTTGTATGCACCTGGATCCTTGTGATTACAGGCAGAAATCCCCCCAAAAATGTGGTTTATGGCTGACTAAACTAATACCTGAAATCAATTCGATGTCTGAAAATGTTATAGAACTGTCAGAAAGGAAGTTCACAGCATTTGAGAGAATCAAGAGTATTTGAGAATTTTGTTTTTTAGAGAGTAACACATTAAAACTAGTACTTAAACTGTATGAAACTCATTTAACAAAAAAATACAAACCTTTAAGTTACGTATTTCCCACGGGGTTTAATTCATTTAAACGACTAAAAACGTAAGACGTTGCCGTGCTGAAGAAAATAAAACGCTAAACCGGAGTTATAAAACAAATAGCTGATGAGTTTAAAGACGAATTAAAAATAATACCGCTCTCCTGGTTTAAAACAGAACTGAAGGGACTTCTTAATCCAGAACATCTCTGCTGTAGAATTAAAAACACGTCTTCCTGCTTGACTCGGCGTGCTGGCGCCCTCTTTTGTCCTGGCGACAAAAGCGTTTTCATTTGACCTTTTATGTCAAAAATAAATAAATATCATGATTATTGTACGTTATATGCATTGCATATTAAGTGTATAATAAATTTACGAGCGCAGAGTTGAGTTGACCGTTTCAGAGACACTAAAAAAAACTCTAAAACACTCTAAAAAATGCTGGGTTAAAAAGGGACAACCCCAGCTATTGGGTTGTTTTGACCCAGCAGTTGGGTTACCCAACTGCTGGGTCAAAACAACCCAATAGCTGGGGTTGTCCCTTTTTAACCCAGCATTTTTTAGAGTGTACCTTATATTCATGTAATTCGAATTTACATTACAAAAACAAATTACAAACAAAAATTGTGTTGCTAACAAGCTAGACATACAAGTATTCTGGTCTGTGTCTTTGCAATAGTGATTTTTTTGGTAAACATTCTGTCACTTGTCGATGTAAAAAAAAAACAACCAGACCACAACAAGACAGAAAAATGTAGCGGATGTATATAGCAACTGTACACAAACTTATTGTTGTCTTACTTCCTGAATATGATCCAAAATTGATTTAAATGGGTCATATGATGCGATTTCAATTTTTCCTTTCTCTTTGGAGTGTTCCAAAGAGATATTCTTTATAAAAGTTAAGAGCCAGCCACACCTACCTAAAACGTCTCGTTCTAACACGCCCCCACATACCTACCTCACTATGTGGGAAGATTTGCATAACG